TGTGTGTGTGTGTGTGTGTGTGTGTGTGTGTGTGTGTGTGTGTGTGTGTGTGTGTGTTCTCTCTGCTTAGAAAGCAATTGTTACCGGAACTAAGAACAAAGAGATTTCTAAAAAAGAAAAAAATATGCAAAAGAGCCAAAGTAAGTTATATGCCACATGGTTAAATAAAAATTCACAGCCACTAGGAGGTGGTAGTATGGCTGGCTTTGCTTTCTGATACTTCAGGCAATCTTTATTAAATCATCAATAATGTATCACCACAGGGTTCTTTTCTCAAGAAGTCTCCAAGCCATGCAGGCCTTGACTTGCAGTTCATACCCATCTCAAGTCTGGAAGATCAACCCTGCAGGGCTGCCACAGGACCTTACCCCAGGCTCTTGCTCTTCCTGACTTCTTGCTTCTCATTCCACGTATTTCCTGGGAGCAGGTTCTGCCTACAGTCTTCACTAGAACGTACTGCTCCTCTTAGAAAAAGATCCAGGGATTTTACCTGATGCCCACTCTTGAGGAGGGGCATCTATTCTTCAGAAAGCACCCACTTGTTTTCCGTGTGTCCCCTAAAGTCATTGGCACTACAGAACCAGAGGAAACTGGTTTTTAGCCAGGTCTGGTGACACAGGACTATAATCCTAATTACTCAGGAGATCCAAGCAGAAGGATCACAAGTTGAAGGTCTGTCTGTGCTGAGTGAGTTCAAGGTTAGTCTATATAATTTAATGAGACCTTACCTCAAAAAGTATTTTCCCAGGGGCCGAGATAGCTTAGCGGTGAATGCTTGTCTGACTTATGAAAAGTCCCCGGTTTGGTCCCCAGTACTAAAGACACATAGGCACACATATCTCATAGGCACCCCACTTATCTTTCCCAAGTAAGTGGTACCCTCAGCTTTACATTTTGATAAAGTTTCATTATTTTTATCAGAGTTGTGGTTGTCACTTGGGGAACTTACTTCAACTCTTATTCTCTACATTTTGTTAAGGAAAGAGTAAAAAACAGCAAATTTCCTTGGGACTCACCCAGAGAAGCCTGGAGCTGTGAACTGGAATATTCGATGGTCATGCATAAGTTTTTAAAACATAGCTCATCACTGAGAGGATTTTGCACAGTGTAACTTCTACCAGGAACAACTTGGAGAATGCTTGTTCCAACTCTGATCTTGCTTAAAGGCATGTTAAAATATTAAAATGATAAAAAGCAAACACACACACACACACATAAACCTTCAAACTCTACTTCCTAAAGTTGAGGATATATATTCATTAGGCTCCTGAGGTCTTTTTTTTTTAATTTATTTTACTCAGAAGTCAAAACTGAAGTCGTTCTCTTTGGTTAGATAACCTAACCTTCTAGAACAATGGTTCTCAACCTGTGAGTCATGACCCCCTTGGAGTCACATATCAGATATTTACATTATGATTCATAACAGTAGCAGAATTACAGTTATGAATTAGCAACGAATAATTTATGGTTAGGGTCACCACCACATGATGAACTGTATTAAAGAGCCACAGCTTTAAGAATTGAGGAACTACTGCTCTAGAATGTTCCAATGAAAGTGTCCTGAAGATTCACTCCTGTGCTATGTTTTTATGGCTTCGTTTCTCTCTGCTATTCTATTCTATAGTTTGAAGAGGACCTTACTTCAAGGCACAAGTCTTCGTCTTATGTCATGGACTCTTGTAATCTGTATACGCTCCAAACCAACTTCAAATGTAAGATGACAGAAACAAACAAACAAAAAAAAATGGTTTTCACAGGAAACGAGCAGGACTCATGGGTAAGTTCTCCCTTCTTTTCAGTGCAGCAGCTTGGTTAACTATCACACTGCCAGGTATTTATTAAGAGTTGACCCAAGAAGCCACAGAGGAAGTCTATCCAAAAAAAAACAAACAAAAAACCAAAAACTTATAAGGAAATAGATTTGTTTTAAAATAAAATAGAAAATGGGGTTTTCTCATGTGAGAAAACACATTTAGTGCCTGCAGCAATTAATGATGAGTAGCAGGCAAATGTGTATCTGCTATGAGGTCCTGGAGATGTATCCATTGACTAAAAATCCAAACAAAAATAAAACAAACAGGCCACCCAGATCCCTCCCCCACAAAAGCATTGAAACAAAAGACTGATGATCTGTTTATGTAGTCACATGAAAAATAAACATCTTTATTTTTTGCCTACTTTATTTCATTTTTTCAAATAAAATTTAAATCTGTACAAAGTATACTGTTACAGTATATATTTTGTAAGAATCAATGCCTAAAAGAATCACAATACTTCAATAAGCAGTACAGCAGACCTCGCTAGCTTCAGCTTTGATATTGAACAAACTCAAGCCGGCTGATGCACAACACGGTTGCTTGGTTTCCACATGGTGAGTTCCCAGCACTGAGATGGGAGAACATGACAGCAAATATGGTTATATTACAGCCCAACACACTGCGCTTCTTCATATGATAATAACTGCACATATTTAACACAGAATGCTCAAATTTACTTTTAAAATTGCATTTGCTTACTTTTTAGTTGGCAAAATTCAGCATTCTTAAATGGGGTCCCCAAACAGTGCAAATTAATGATATTCTATTGTATATTGGCACAACTCCAATAAGGATTAACTTGTAAACTCAAAGAATATCAAGAACTTAGCCCTAGATTTTAACTAATATACACCTGGTCCATTTAACCAAAGTCATTTTGGAAAGATAGTAAAGAACAACTATTTCTGAAAGGACATTGTTTTGACCATTCTTTTGAGAAGGTAATTTTTTAAATTGTCATTAAAATTTTTACTATAAAAATTTTACAAACTTGATTAGAAATTTCAAGATGATTCACAGCAGACAAATACAAACTGTTTATATTCCAACAACACCAAGGCTTAGACTTTCAAGTGGAGCACAACCGTGTCAGCTGTGTTAACTGAGACTGGACAGTGTACTAAGTTTATAAGTGGTGCTGGGTCTAGCAAGTGTAAATACACAGTATATTTCAATGAAAAGAATTGTCTTCTTTATACTTTATTTGTTTTCCCATAAGGAAACATTAATGTTTACATTCTTTAATAAAGTTAATCTTACATCAGAATATAACTTAATACTGTCAGCAACAGGGACCACACACAGTAAATAAGAAGCACATTTAAAATAAGTCTGATTTCACATAGATTAACATTTGTTGGTTAATAAAATATTGACAGTATTACAATCTTACAATATTTACAGTAAGAAAAATCTAGAGTAATATATACCTTTCACAGCAGGATTCCTTTTTAAGTTTTTCCAGTTTGGGATTGTGTGTACACAAAAAGCTCAAAATAAAGCAACTCTGCATGTAATCTTAAAGTAACAGCTACAGGGGGACTCTATCACGGCCATTGAAAATAATGGTGACTTCTCACGGAGTCTGTGGCATCTGAGAACCCAGTTAATTTACCAAAGTCTTGCTCAAACCAACCTTAGTTAACCAGATTAAACCAGCTAGTTACCCAGATTAAACCAGCCTTAGTTACCCAGATTAAAGCTGCAGAACTCCGGCCTTCCCCAACTGCTGAAAACCCAACAGACTTTCTCATCATGCTATAAGAAAAGAGGGGAAATTGGTTTCAGCTCATACCTTATGCTGGAAGCTCCCAACCAGCACATACTTTCTAACATATGCTAAAAGAGGGCTGTGGTTTCATCCCCAAGCATCACAAGAGTCTACCCTCCAAGTACAATGCATCCTGATGATGCCAAGCTCACTCATTCTTCAACTCTTGTGCATTAAGGCATGAACTTGGCCCATATAATACCAGTATCTTGGAGACTTGGGACTGGGGCAAAGGAACAGACTTGTGTAGTTTGCACTGAGAGCAATAGGAAAAATGGGAAGTGATGCACATTTCCAATTAGAATGACAAGAAGACCCACATCCCTAAACTGGAATTTGGCCAGGGTATCAGAGTTAGCACCCCCCTCTCTGAGTACCACGAGCAATTAGGATGTGTGCTCTGGGCCTCCTCTTGGAGAGCATCTACAATAAGTAATGCAGTATGGGACACTATTTCAGTGATGACTCCCAAGGAAGCAGATATATTTCTTGAATCTAGGGCTGTCTACAGCACCTGAGGTCAATCCTCAGAGCTGTGACCTGTCCCAACTCTGCTTACTTCACAATATCTGATGGGCACAGAGCACTCAGGGATACGGCTGCTGGCTCCTTTGTACTCTAGATCTTACAGGTAATCAACAGGAAGAAGGGATTGAATTAGCAAACTGTACCATGGCTCCTTAAACAGACACTGTCAGGTTTGAAATCATGTCAAGCATGAATCTTCACTGTCAGGTCAGAATTCAAAGTAGGAGTATTCCCACGTTAGCCAAGGTTATTTGTCAAAACCTTAGAGGAGTTGGACAGTTTTTCAGTTTGCAAGTGATTGGTTACTTATATCAGTCAAGCTGGATTGGCAAACCAGACTGAACTATTTAGTTTTGTGTTTTGATTCTTACATTGTGCTAACCCAAAGCTGTTGCATTTGGGCTAAATACACTGACAGAGAAAATTCAAACAAAAGTTTCAGCAAACTTCTGCGGCATTTTCTTTTTGGAAGTCAATGCAAGATCGAAAGGTATTTCTACCCAACAAAGTCTGTTTAAGTGTTTAATGTTACTTCCTTTTGGCCCTATACAGAATGCTATGACTTCTATATAGGTCTGAATGCTGCCCCGTGTAGATTCCTTCTGTATATCTAAAAATATATACTTTTCAGTAGTTCAATACATGGTTAATCTTCCCACAGAGGAAGATTTTTGTAATCACATGTTGCAAAGTAGAAAAACATCTCCTTTCTAAGAAAGGAAATACACTTTTCTATTGTACACTTTTGAATAAGCCCAAAGGCATGCACCAAAAATCATTATTAAACTAATACATGCACTAAAATGGTGTGGAGTTAGACTTAAAGTGCTGCTTCTTGATTTTTAAATTTGAAGACATTTGTCAGTTGTTGAGTCAAAGTCCTCCCCCACCCCCACCCCATGGTATCAAGAGAGAAAAGTAAAAAGTATGCATAAATCTTTTAAACTATTCTTTACATGGGGGGGAGAATGGATATATCAACTATCCTATATGTAAACTGGACTCCCAGTTTCAAATAAAGTCAGTATTTACTGGTAAAAATTGTCAAAGCTAATACACCCAAACAAATGTTACTAGTAAATAATGTTCTACATAGAGAATAATTTACTTTGGTTTTATGCACTTTCTCAAAAATAATACTAGTGTCCCATACTTCACCAAACTGATGTGTTCCAGCAAAGTTGTAAGGCAACTTATTTTTCCCTAGTGCCATCTTTTTTTCCCAACAGACAAAACTAAAATCTTTTGGTGAGGAAGGGGTTAAGATAATGGCTAACCCCTTGGCATCCTGAGCATTGTGGTTTATCAAACTCTACCCTGCTAAAGTTGTCAGGTACTGGGACCCCAACCTTGAACCAGGAATGGCTCCCATATCTGGAGATGACCTGACTCCTTATAAATAGCTCTCAGAACTTTACTTCTCTTTCCTTTCGATCTGGATGTTATAAAGTCTAACAAAGCTAGTTGCAATATCACATTTTGCTAGTAGGGGCCACCATATGATAAAAATTCCAATCTGAAATGTTTTAAGCCAATAGTTCCTAATTTTATCAATTTATTTGCATTATAGTTTTTCTATATAGTTTCTCAGAGCAAAAATTCCTAACTTGGGATTCAGAAGATTTGTGATGACCCTGAGGCTTAGCAAAATTATCTGTATTATGTGTAATTTTTTTCTGGGGAGAGGGTTCATCACTTACATCAGATTTTCAAAGGTTATCTGTGACCCGCCCCCAAAAGCGTTACAGGGACTTAAGAGGGATACCCGTAATTCACTATAGAATAGGATTAGGAAATGGAGGCAGACAACAAAAATGGCCTGGGGGTGCTGATCTTTCCCTTTACTCATATTTGGGAAATAAGTGCTTCAAAGTAGAAAAAGGAATTAAGCTGGTTAAACTCCACTAAAAAAATAAAGCCACTTGCTACAATTTTCTCACTTCCATATGCAATAAATTTAGCCTCCAAGAAAAGGTATAAAGACTGAATCTTTTCTTTTCCCAAGGAAATTCACAGATACAATGCTGAATGTCACCCACGCTTAAAGAGCTAAGGCCATCAAATGTAGGTAACTCTAATGACGTGAGCCTTTAACTTGAGGTTTTGCATACAGAATTATCTAGAGTCAAATCCATATTCATTAGCTTTCATTTCCAAAATTGGTCCACGTTTAGACAACACAATTTCTGTACATAACCCTAAAATCTAGACTATGGTTAAACTTTCTACTTAAATTAAAAACAAAGCTACAGACTCCACAATGGAATCTAGCCACATACATCCACACCATGTTGTAGGCAACATTCTCATTTCAAATACATCACTGAATTTTCAACAGAATTTGCAAACATTATGAACCACAATGACCAGCAGAACATGGGAAGAGCATGTCACGACCAACACCCCCATCCAGAACACATTCAGAATAACTAACCAGATCTGAAAAGAGGCCTCTTACTTGCTGGTTTAAGTGTGAGGTGTGTAAAAAGCTACAGAGAAAGAAATAGAAAATGAGATCATTAGTAACTTATAAAAACAATGCCAGCCAAAAATACATCTCTCTGTTCCATTGAAAAAATTCAATTTCTTTTTTTGCAGTTCTGAATACAGCATCACACATTCACAGGTACACTCTTTGTTCTCTGTGCAGAGCATATCAAGAAGCTAAGACGGTATCTGGTTAAATCAAACTCTCGTATCCTTTGCTATCCCCATCCCTCAAAAAGTGAGTCAATCTTATATTCTCAAAAGGAACAGTCATTTCATGTAATATCAGTTATGTGACATAAACCACGAGGAAACAATATGACTTCATGGAAAGCTACACAAAAGAGGGAACTAACTGCCATTTACTTTACTTGCAGTTTCTTAAGCATGTGCCCAGTAAGACTCAGATATCATTCACTAAATGAAACATACCAACATTCCAGAGCCAGGCCATACCAGGATAGAAGTTGCATCTCAAAGACACAATTTCATATACACAGACATATTTCCTATCCTAAGCTTTTACTTTACTTAACCAGTTTAATAAAGCTCACATTTACAAAGAATTTTATTGGCAAATAAAGATCCATATTAAAAATTTTATCAAAACAAATTTTACTGTTACATAGCTAACATTAATGAATATTTTCTTGGCCTTATAAAGCATACGTAATTGCATATGAGTTTAACTTTGGGTGGGATATTGAAAACAATTTTTGCAAGAAATTAGAAAAGACTAGAAACAAAAGTGAAAGTGACTAGTCTTTAATTTCCAAAAAATCAAGTGCAAAGATAAATAGTGCAATAATGAAAACTATAAATTTATAGGCCACTTTACAGAGTCTTTTCTGCTTTTGCACTTTTCTACATTATTATCAAACCCTAAAAACTGTATGCAGCATAGAAATGGGCTATCATTTATCTCCATTGCCTAGACTCCAGGAAACCTTTCAGACCTGTCTGTCATTTAAAGCACTGGTTCTTCACTTGTTTTAACAATTCCTAAGGGAAGAACAATTTAAGAAGGCTCTTCACAGACTTAAACTACAGTATGTTAACTATAATTTAAAATCTGACACAAAATAAAATGTGAAAATTATACTAAGTGCCAACTCTGCAAAATAAACTATGTAAAAATAATCCCACTAATGCTAATGAACTTGACACTTGAGAAAAGAAAAAAAAATCTTCCAAGTACAGACCAAAACTTCCTTTTGGCTATTTTAAAAACAAATTCTCAAAGGAATGTATAGGGACCTGATTAAAATGAAACTAGAAAGTAATGTGTCAAAATTACTGGGGATAAAAAAAAAATTACTGGGGATAAACCCATAGTAAATTTAGTCAATCTGAATCTGAACTATGTAACTTTAAAAACAAATGTTTACCTTAAATAATTTAAAACACTCCTGGGATTATAAAACAGATAACTAATCACTGTCAACTCACCTCACAAGGAACACAAGAACCTGGGAGATGTATTAAATTATAATTAACACCCATCTACACTAACTTTAGGGAATTCTTCCAGGAAAACAAACAGAAACAAGAGTTCAGGGGATATGTTATCTAATTCTGGAAATACATTATCAAGGGCTTCTTAAGATCCACAATGTTAGATGGCTGCTAGGACTACAAATGTAAAGGAAATAGAAAAGATACTTAAAATAGCAAGTAAGTGATTGTATCTGGTTTACTGTCATCTAAAAAATGTATGTGGACCAAAGGCTAAAGTGTCTGTAAAAGAAGGTCCTTTGGGTGTGGATCTTGTGAATTAGAAGGATAATCTTGAAATGCAAACAGAAGTTACACTGTGACAAGAGCCCAAGATAATAGTGTATGATAAACGTCACTGACAGCTTAAAAATGGCAAATGAAAAAGGGTGAACTGTTCTTTTTTTTTTAATAGTAAGTTCCACACACCAATCTGTCTTGACCAGAAAAGCTGCCATTTCACAATTGTGCTACTTGAATTTGTTCACAGGAGCAGATATACTATAAACCCTCAAACCATCACACATAGGCATCAAAAACTGATTTGTATAAACCATCATCACCACAACTAGCTACAGTTTTCTCTTAGCTGACAGGGGACACACTGACACCTCCTTAGTGAAGCTCAACCTTATTTTCTTAGTCAACAACTACCGTCCAGAGTTCACCTTAGTACTTCTTCCTACAGTCAATAAAAATCCCTCCTCCTTTACTTCCAGCTATTCTCTTCTTTGTCTCTCACACCCCCATTCACAAACAAACAGCTTTACCCTTTCTGTTCTCCAATTTCCACACCAGTGAGTCTCAGTTCTCAGTAACTTAAACACATGCTTCTTACACTCTTCATTTCACAGATTTCCTAACAAGCACTCATTTAGATGCTCTTCAAATTGCCAAGTTAAGACTATGGGGAAAACAGCAGTTAGAAAAAAAAATAAATAAAAAAGGCCAAATTACTTCAAAATATGGAAATCTTTCTGGATCATCAGTTCTCTATGATGTTCAAAGGGAAGAGTTATCACTTCTTTCTGAAGGAGGGAGGCTCAGGTTCCATGAGTAGGATCATAAAGAAAGGAGAATGGAGGAGCCAAAGTGTCAGGCGTACTTGGCAAGGAGGTCAAGAGCTACCAACAACCAACTGCACCACCAACTGTCAGTCCATTTCAGCAGAGTTTGACATAACGTCAATGAGTGTAACTCATTACCTGATTGTTATTACTGTGCGAGTTAGTCAAGTAACTAGGTGTCACCTGTCTTGTAACTTTTAACTGCCATTTAGATCCTCCTAGAAGCCTTTTGCATTAAGACATCTTAGACCAAAATATATACCAGCAAGAATATTTCCACAATTGCAAAATTGCAAAACACAAGAGTGTGATCTTGAACCTTATAGGCCTTCTGAATTACTAAAGTGGAACCTAAACCAACAAGATTAAAACTCATTAGCTTAATTTTCCCATGAAATGCTAAAAAATATGCAAATTAATAATAAAAACAAAGTGTGTATTCATGGAATCACAAAATTATTATGATTCCAAGAACAATAAAAATGTTTCTGGTCTGTAAAAAGTAGCTTCACTTTATACAAAAGATCACCACCACATTTCTACACCTATCAACAAGACAATTTCCCACAAAAGCTAGACAACAGAAGGGAGGGAGGGAAGGAAAGCAGGAAGGAGGGAAGAGATTCCAAATGTAATAGAAGGAAGAAGACATAAAGCATAGCATGAAATGGAAGGGTAACTATAAAATTCTCAAAGAAAACCATCAACAAGAGGTTATTTTCCATATTCAACTTTCCTGAAGACATAAGTTGCCTACACCTTTTAATATCAAAACCTGGTAGTCAGTTTGTAGATAGAGATGTCGAACTGTTTAGAACCAGCCACAAGTCTTATATTTCATCTGGTTGCTCTTGAATCTTGAAATCCCACTAATGCTAATTTAGACTATGCTAATGCTAGTTTAGATCACCATTATATAGCCCATAATAATGAAATTTCTGTTCAAAAAGAGCTACTAGCTGAATGGCCTAGGCCTTAAATTTAGGTTTGGTTTTAGGATCAAATAGCTTCATAAATCTTTAAATCAGCTTTTCCTTAAAATTGCATTGCAAACTCTGCAGAGCTATGGCAATTAATGCTGCTGGATAAACAGTCATTTTAAGTAGTGATCATTTTACTTTTATGGAGTACATTACTATGAATGGTCTAAACTTGGCTTACAATGAAAAAAACAATATTTTAAAATTTGATAAAGTTTAAAACAAATTTACAAAACTGGTAAATTTGCTTAAGCAATTAAAAAGATCTCTCCCCTAGTCTATTCTCATGACAAAGCATGAGCTCCCTCTAAATTACTGATATTCAAATTTAGAGATAACAACCATGAATGTTATACTCAGTTGTCACCCACTGTTTCAAATCTAAAGTACTCAAGATGCCCTTGTATTAGCTTTCTTTCACACAGTAAACAAAATCTCATCCTGATATCCAAGAAACAACAAAAAAAGAGGAAAAATGATTTTCTATCTGGTTTTATGGGGAAGAAAATATTAAAAGTACACATATATCTAAAAAACTGGAGCTATGAAAGCACTCAAGTAATTTCAGGAAGCTCCATTCTAAAATTATCTGGAAGTATGAGTGTATAACAAGAAGGGAAAAATAATGGAAATATTGGAGAAGAGAAGCCATGTAAAGATAAAAATAATTCCATGCCCATGGTGGGGTCACCATGGCTGGCTGATTAACCTAAAACGCCATGAGAGAAAAATATGTTTAAAAAGTTTCACTGCCAAAACACAAAAATTTAAAGCACAGAAACAAAACTGAGATAACTTCTCCAAACATTAAGCTCCATTAAAAAAAAAATCAGGAAGAAAAAGGATGACATTATAACTTTTCCAGCACACTAAATCTTATGCTATGAAGTGCTTGGGCCACCAAATGCACCCAGATTTTTCTCAACAGATTTATCTTCCCCACCCCTTCCACCCAAATTTAGCTCTGTTTTCCTGCAGCAAAAGGTACAAATTCCTACAGTGGTAACAATAAGAAATGAAAACAGTGAGTACAACTGATAGAGATCCATTGATTTTTATTACAAATGTACTTGATCACTTGGCTTCAAAAAGTTTAAAATCAATAGCCTAATATCTATATGCCAGTACAAAGCAAACTGTTTTACAAATTAAATACCTAAAAACTTGACAAAAATATTAAAATTTGATGAAAAACAATTATAAAAATTCTTAATCTCTCTCTTCAAAAAAAGGAGGCAGTCTTCCCAGACCTATCATACAATGTTAATAGCATTAGGTAGCTAAATTATATTTATGTCAGCATTAAAAAAAAAAAAACTCTTAGACTAATAGATTTTATTTGTATATGCTTCAGTTAAGTTTGTGAATGCCATCTGATTGCAATATAATCAACTCTCTTTAATTTAATTCTAATTTACACTTATTTAATAATTTGCATAGCTTGAAAGGGGTAAAGGTTATTCTATGACTAATTAACATAGGCTACTACAGTGCTATTTCTCAAGGCAATAAGTATTTGCTCCCAAATGAAATTATTTGTCTCCTTTCAGCAGGGGTTAAAATCACTAGCAGCTTTCTCCATTATCTGAAATTAAAAAAAAAAAAAAAACTGGAATAGTTATCCATCTTTAGATGTAAAGGCCCAAAACCAAAAACTGATACTTTCCATTTTGAGTCAAATTTTAACCCCTGCATGGGACTAGAAAGTGAGACTTTCAAGGTTTTTTTTTTTTTTTAAATTTCCCATTGGTTTTGGTTTTTACTTTCCATGGCTTTTAAGAAGCTGGAAAACAGTTTGTCTTTCCTGACTACTTTGTCTTTTTTTCTCATTTGGCAAATGTTCATCTACCTCCAAATGTGTGTCTAGTAGAGGAAAAGCCAACATGGCTTTCTTATGAACTTCCTTTGTTATCAAAGGCATGTATGATGATTTCTACAGTTCTGGTTAGTTAACTTTAGCTCCCTCTGTGGCTGGATGACTGCTGCTTCTAACATCTGCATGATAAATAGGAGGCACAAATAAAAGGTAGCTTTAAAATAAGATTTGGTAATTTAAGGGGGAAAACCCACAAATACCATCATCACCACCACCACCATCACCACCACCACCCACCCACCCACACACACACACTCACACACACACATATTCTCTCTCTGTCTCTGTCTCTGTCTCTCTCTCTTCAAATCTGGTGGCTGATTTCTGGATCAAATTACTTGACAGTGTCTCTCATTTTAAAGAACATCAATATCTCAATGCATTTCAAGTTTTCTTTTTTTACTTAGGCAAATAACATAGTTTAACCAAGCTCTTGGACCTTAATTGTAAGACAAAGCAGATCAATAAAAATAAGGCATACTTGTCATGAATTAAGTTCTGTTTGCTTGTTTTTGGCACATTTGATCATACTGTCTTCTATGAATAACACATATGGTCAAATATACCCCCCCTTTCAGCACAAACTGGGGCTACTCACTAGCAAAATAAAAAACAAGAAGAGACTCTAACATAATACACTGAAATATAGAACCTTGGTAAAGTACCGAGCACCTGGGAGGGGAAATGTAGGGGAAGAATGAAATAGGAGAAGGGGAAGGGAAGGTTAGGAGGTCAATGGGGGAGAGAAAGTGAGATGCTTTAAACAAAAAGAGCATCTTTACAGTCACTCAGTCTTCTCTATGACCACTTTTTAAGTCTTAAAAGATCTGCATGTGGATTTCTTTTTAAACCCACTGACCATAAACCAGACAATGGATTCAAAGTCCTAGTAAGATTGTGTTTAACTGTTATAGTGTAAAGACAACAGCACAATACATGTGCTTCTTGATCCAGTAGGATTCCAAGCAGAATATGAAGTCTATAGGTAAGAAAGGTTTCACTTTAGGCAGCTGACCCTAAAGAAAACCTTACGAATGAACTTGCATCTCAAAGAAAGGACACTTTGCCTAAGTTTGCTGTGTTTTTGTTGACTTGCACTACTGACTGCTGGCTACTACAAAACACTGATCTAGGAGTACTCCAACAACTCGTAGCACAAGGCTTAACTTTAAGAAGCTATAGTAAACAAGAGACAAAATCAAAGCAATTCTCTTTCCTAATTAGAAACAGCACAGAGAATGCAATCTTTTCCATATCACAGTTAAAGTACAGTGAACAAAACAGCTCAACAAACCTTAAGACAAAAAGTGCAGGTTATTAATGTTTACATGCAGTTGATAAGCATTCCAAATGTCACATTATGCACTGTAAAAGCTCAACTTTACTATATGAAAATAATAAAAAATGCACCTTGGGGAAAGGGGAAAGCAATTTAATAATTTCCAGTGATTTTGTAAGTAAAGAAACTCCTAACTATTATACGGTCACCTCATATTTAACATTGCATGAATATGAAAAGCAAACAATGGGAAAATGCACAGTACAATGAAAATAGCTTGTTATTCAACACATACAGTAGATCTCAAAAACAAAGACAACACTCAACCAGAAAGCTTAAAAATATCAAATCAAAACCTAAAGAGCCAGCAGGGGAAAAAAAAAAAAATCCTTCAAAAAAGACAACTGTTCTGCCTTCCTAGGCGGATGCTTTCCAATGGGAAAGGTGCTGACACCTTCCCAGTCCTACAGGTG